AATATAAATTAATACCACTATACAAAACAAAATTCTGAAAAGTCAAGGCATCAGACAATGAAAGAACTGTACAGTGATATTGTCAAAAAATATTTATTGTGGATGAACGTTAAAAAAAGTTGTTTAAAATKTACTTCTGTGTAAAATACAAGCCACTTTGGGGWTAAATTTCTCACATTACGACGCATAAATACAGTAATTTCTTTTGACCAGCAGAAATAAAAACCCTCTGAATACTTTGATCCTGATCTGCCCGTCACATCAGCTAAAACTCAGGCTGTGCTGCTAACCAGCCGAACTATCAGTGCATCCTGATGCATGATCCCATTACATCAGCTAGTCGGCTGATTTGATAACGTTGGGGTGATGCATGTGTTACACGGTCCTCTAACACAGGATCTGAACAACACCTCGTTAACATTAATTGCATAATTAACAAGCGGTGACGATTAATTATCCATCTCTGCTTAAYCATCGGCTCTCTTCGTGTCTGTGTGACGGTACACAAAGCGATCGGTCCAGAGAACAATTACCAATCAGCTCTCCCTTTCTTCTCTCCCCGCTGCTTGGATTAAAGCTCAATGAAGAAGACGTAAAGAAGTTAAACAATGAAGATGCGAGCATTTTACTGACTTAATGCACCGTAGAAAAATAATYAAAAGGGACAGTCGGAGTCAGACGTGCAACAATCACCATAAATAACCTGCCAGCAGAAAGGCTTTTTAATTAGCAGGTATGACTGGTCTGCAGAGCTGAGCAGCACCAGGTTAATAATTACAGAAAGAAGGGGTCAGCTTTCGCAGTCCCTTTGTCCTGAAATGCACCTTGGCCTCAGACTGGGAGGAGGAAACAAGGCGCTAATGGAACTCCTCTGGGATCCATTAGCCAGCCTTTTTCCTTTCAGACCATCTGATACGCTGTCAGGTGAAGGCTGCAGAGGACACTGCTTTTTGTGGCAGCACCTGTAATTTACCCTCCGTAACATGCTGTTTTCCAATCTCCACCCATCTTTAGGAATTACTGACACACAGGTATCAGAAAACCTACAATGGAGCCGAGAGCAGCAGGAGAAACGAGACGATAATAGCAGAATTTACAGCTCTGGTGTGTGTGATGGTGGAAGTCTTACCTGTGGTCTGGACGAGAGGCTCGAGGCTGCGGGAGACAAATAAACAAAACACTTAAAACTCTCTGTTCTGTACAAGTTTACGCTCAAACCATCAGCCTGTGGGGGTCTTTTACAGTCCCATGCACGCACTCAGCTCTGCGCCGCTCTGCCTCCGAGCTGTGCAGCAACCCAAGCCTAATAACGCTGAAGCAACTGTGAGATTAGAATGGATTTTTAACTAAAGCCCTCGTTGGCGTTTCAACTCGAAAGTCAGCAGTTCAATATTTGAACATTTATTGTTGACGCTTTCAGTTTGATTAACGTCCCCCGAAGGTGCGCGTTATTTCAAACTCAGCTGCTGCGAGTAATGAGAGTCTTGATGAGAGGAGATCACATGGCAAATTAAAGGAATAATAGTTGCCTTAAAGCCTCGGCTTTAGAATGGGAGCTTACATGGAATCACATTGTGATGGATTCAAAATGCAAACGTTTAAAAGTCGGTCACTGCAGCAGCTTTTAGAGGAAGGCTTGGCTGCCATCACACACACACACACACAAACACACACAAAGCTGAATGACAACATGAGCACATGGATGAATGAGGGGGTCTAGAGCAATGTTTCCCAAAGTTGGGGTTGGGACCCAAAGTGGGGTCCCGAAACATCAAGGTGGGGTCCTGAAAAGATTTTCTGAATTAATTACATTTTTGCCTTAGTTG